TTTTTTCTGTATTTTCTTTGGTCTGTCTGTCAATTATTTGATGATACCTAAATATAATTCTTTTGAATTCCTTATCAGAGCATTCCAGTGCTGCTTCTTCCTTAGGGATGTGTTCTGGGTGTGTATCCTGCTCCCTTGTTTCTACCACTTTATCCTGCTTCTTTGTGTGGACTGTGATGGTCTGTTGTCTCCAAGGCATCGTGGCGTTGTATTTAGATCTCTGTTAACTGTTTGTGAAGAGCAGCCAAGGGTGATTCAGGCTCTTCTTGGTGGTTTTTATTGTTGGCCCATTGGTGGAGAAGAAGGAAATTGCTCTCACTCAGTAAGTGAAGTTGCAGGAGGTGTGGTTGTAGTTGTGTCTAATGGGGACTGTTGTTGTCTCCCACTCAGTTAGACACAAATTACAATTGAATAACCATCAGAAAACTAAAAGCATATGGACAAAAAACACACCATGCAATCACATAGGAACAGTAACCAAAAAAAGAAAAAAGGGAAAAAGAAGAAGAAAAAACAGGAAAACCTGCAATATCTGGGGATAGGACACTAAGAGAAAATAAAGTAGAGAAGGGGAATAATGAAGGAAAAAAAGTGGGAAAAATGCAAAAAGAAAAATAAGGAACAGGTTTAGCCATGAGAAAAAAGGGGGAAGAAAAAAAAATAAATTAAAAAAAAAAAAAGAAAATATTTCAAGCAGGAACAGGGAAAAGAAAAACTGCTGAAAACTAGGACCTGAGAGAGGAAGAAGAAGAATAACAGTAAAAAGGAGAAAAGTATTAATAATAATAGTTGTTTTAAAACAGACAAATACAAGCAAACTAATCACCAGGAAAAAGAAAGTGAAAAAGAAAAAAATTTAAAAAAGAGGAAAAAAAAAAATCAGTGGAGGACAGTGCAGGGCACCCAGCATCCATCTGAGCACACAGACTGTGATGGAGTTCCTGTGGGCCCAGAACGTAGGTGGGAGTGGGGAATGGCCGCACTTCCATTCACCAAGCAGGTGTGGGGAATAAGAGTAACAAGAGGAATGTGGTACCTTTTCACTCTTGCAGGTCCGGAGAGTCCTTGGGGTTCCTGGAAAGCAGAATGTGTTCTTAAGCCCTAGGAATCTGTGAGAGTGCTATCTCTTTAAATATCCAAAATAGTCAAGCCGCTTTTAGACATTCAAAATGGCAGCGTCCTCCAGACCAGCAAAAGTCCACAGCTCAGCCCACCTTTCTCTTCACCTTCTCTGTTTATTCCCCAGCCATCACAGCAGTCTTCTGTGCAGTCCCTGGCTATTAGGGTGATTTTTAGTTTTATTCTTAGGTCCTGCCACGACTCTGGAATCTCCAAGCTGTCTGTGCCGTCAGGATCGTTCAGGATCGCTGCCAGACCACAGTTCAGGAGTATGTCTCCTTTTTTGGTATTTTCATGCAAATTCTTCTGTTGGTTGGGGTTTAGTCCACTTCTGTATCCACCCCTTCAAGGCTCAGGGGTCCAAGATTATCTTCTGTGTCTGTGTTAATTGGTTTCCCTTTTCTTTGTTGAAGAGGGTCTGTGCAGTCTTTCTGCCTAGTCCGCCATCTTGCTGGAAGCCCTCTGTATTATTTTTAAGAGTCAAGCTAAAAACAACATTAGGCCAAGAGCACAAACAGACTTGACTTTAATCACTTGAGCTAGAAATGATTCTTGTTTCAGAAAATTCCTTGCGGAATTCCAAGGGAATTCCAAGGGAGCCTGGCTCATGAATTCATACCTGGTTCTGAAGGCAGAGGGAAGAAATTTCTGTTGCTGGGCCTGCTTGTCCCATCATTATATATTCCTAACAGCTTTGTGGGGGCGAATTTTGGGGAGGAATGATAGTTGCGATACGTTTTGCCATAAAATCAGAGAGGCTCCAAATAATGTTACCTGAAATTAGATAGATGTGCGTTTCTCCTCTGGGTTGGCTATCTGGAGTGGTGTGGCAGCTTGACATCAATCCCAGTGCTCACTCCTTCTGGTTGCTGGTCTGCCATTATCAACACTGGCCTTCCATCTTGTGATCTAAAGTAGTTGCTTCAGGTCCCACTGTTAGGTCCCCCTTCCAGCAAGCAGGAAGGGAAAGAGGGGAAGTGGAGCAAGCCTTTTATGGCATAATCCAGAAGTTGCACATATCACTCTCCCTCACATCCTGCATCAACAGCCCAAATCTATTTGCAGGAGAGACTGAGAAATAAAGATTTTATTTGGGGAGGCTAGGAGTTCAGCTAGAGTGAGAGAGGTCCATTGCTAAAGGTAGAAAAGAAGACAGCCAACCATATCTAACACATGTAGACTTCAGAAGAATTGCAAGCACGTGAGTTTCTTACTTCCTTTCAGAGTGAATTCAGGGAAATAAACCTTTTCCTGTGCCTGGTTCCAGGGCCAGGAGCACCTCTCCATTGTTATGATCATTGGGCTCCTGGGAGAACATAGAAAAAGACAAAATTCCCACCTGACTCGTAAAGAAACCTGAAAGATGGGCAGTGTATGGTTAACAGCACATGTTCTGGAGTCAGGGAATTGATTCTGACTCTTTGACTTCCTAGCTGCGTGACCTTGACAAGTGACTTAAACTCACTGAGCTTCAGTTCAGTGGCACATATTTTATATGGCTACAGTGGTGGCGTAGTGGCTATGGCATTTGGCCGCTAACCAAAGGGTCTATGGTTTGAACCTACCAGCTGCTCTGTGGATGAAAGATGAGGCAGTCTGCTTCTGTAAAGATTTACAGCCTTGGAAACCCAATGGGGGTCACGATGAGTCAGCATCGACTTGATGGCAGTGAGTTTGGAGTTTGGGTTTACTGTGGGGATTAAATGAAATGATATGTGTAAAGTGCTCCGTGCTGCACCTGACTCATATTAAATGATCACTAATGACAGCAGCTGACTACTCTTGTTCCCTGGAGACAAAAATCAACAGAGGAGCCAACAGCTCGATGCCTCAAGCCTGTCTCAGTGGAACACATTTTTAGCATGAAGTCTTCTTTCAGTTTTTGACCAATTTCTCTACATTTTAAAGGCAGTCATTTTTCTCTTTTCTTGCCATCTCACATTTGGGTTATTTACAGGATTTGAAACATTTTATGATCATATACATTTTGTGATCAATATTCACAAATTCACGAATTCTTCTGAAAGGATCAATTAAGGCAGTGTTCGGGTGGCTACAGACCTTCAGGACTTAGGCTGCAGAATTTAGGCTTTTCCTAGAGGCCTCATCCCGTGATGAACCAATGAATGTTGGTGAACAGACAGAAAAGTAAAAGGAACAACAACAAAAAAACTGCAGATTAAAAGCCTTAGCTAAGGCTTCTGAAAATTGCCTGAAATACAGTTAACTGTTTTGTGTTACTGGCTGAAAATAAATAGATAGATAGATAGATACTTTCATATATATATGAAAGTTGATACTTCCATGAAGTTGATTCAAACTCATAGTGTCCCCCTTTGGGTTTCCATAGCTGTAAATCTTTATGGAAGCAGACTGTCCTTTTTCCTCTGAGCAGCTAGTGGGTTCAAACCACTGACCTTTTGGTTAGCAGCCAAATGCCTTAACCACTACACCAGTGAGCTCCTTATATAAGGTATATAGTTAGTAAAAAATGACATTTTGTGATGGAAAAAATAAATAGGCTTGTGTTGTCTATACTTTGGAAGCCTGTCCCATTTTCGCCTGAAGGTGAGACAGAGTCTTTCCCTGGAGAAGAGAGCTTTCCTCAGGAAGGGACTTCAGATCTGTTCCAGTGGGAAGCGTGTATTCTCCACTGACTTATTTCACTGGTGAATTTGGGAGAAAGAACTAGAACATGCTCATGTTCAACAGCTTCTTCCCCTCATCTTCCGGGATCTGCCCGTTTGGCAGGGAACATGTGTTCTGGTCTACAGTTTGCCTCGTGATAAAAAGACCTGGCCCTGGTGGGGGGGAGGGCGAGGAAAGAAGCTTGAGGCTTTCCCACTGTGTCAGAGACGATGTCTAATTTGGGGGTGAAGTATTGGCATTTGGCTCCACAGCAAAAAGTACATTCTTTAAATGGTAAGGTATCATTTTTGATCTAAAAAAAGAGAACAAGCTTTAGTTAAAATCTCAAAATACCATATAGTTACAGTTTTTACATTCCAATATATTATGCTTTAAATATGTAGATAACAATCACATTAGAAAAATGGATGGATCAGGATAAAAATGTAACAGGCCACATTTTGGTCAGAACCTAAATTGTTCTTCACCGTGTTTTATTTATAAGTGTTTCATGAAGCTGTGAAGTTGTAATGTGGATCCATGAAAAAGCCAGTGGCCGTCGAGTGCCTTCTGACTCATGGCAATGCCGTGTGTCAGCATGACCTGTGCTCTGGTAGAGTTTTCAATATATGACTTTTCAGAAGTAAATCACCATGCCTTTCTTCTGAGATGCCTCTGGGTAGACACGAACTGCCAACTTTTTGGTTAGCAGCCAAACACGTTGAACATTTGCACCACCCAAGGACTCCATATGAATCTATGGCAATGAAAAATTACGGCTAAATTTTTTTAATGAAAATGATTTTCTCTTTCATGCTTAGCTTTGGCTGCAGAAAAAGATGGGACCCCTGTGTTCAAGTTCCCTCGATGGAGAGTCAAGGGCAAGACCATAAAGGAGGTGGCAGAGGCCTACAGATCTGTGGGTGCTGAGCTCAATGTGCTTCCCTTCTGTACCCAGTTCATCCCCATGGATGTTATTGATAGCCCAAAGCATGGCTCCATCATATATCACCCATCCATCCTTCCCAGGCACAGAGGGGCCTCTGCTATTAACTGGTGAGCTTATTTAGTAACAGGAAATATGAGTCTACTGTCATTGCTCTTAACCTTTCTGTTTTTAACCCAGGGTATCAAAAAATAGATAGTCGTGAACAGTTTTGAGACCCTGGTTGCTACTATAGCATGAATTCTCTGGAAATCCAGAGGTGCTTCCCAGAATAGCATTTTCCCAGAATAGCCCATGGAACACTAGTTCCAATGAATGCAACTAGGTATTGACCAAAAAAAGGTTTGGTTTATGATAGACTTCTTTATTGCAGGACTTCTCAGAGCCTTTGATGTGTGCCTTAATGTGAGCACCATGATTGTCAAAGAGGTGGTCCTAGTATATACTTTCCCAAACTTATTTGACCACAGAACTCTTTTTGCACAGAACATCTCAAGTACATGTTAGTTTAAGAAATGCTGAGTCACCTGGAATTGCCTTCTTCATTGTCTGTCTTCCCCCCATTTAAACTTCAAGCTCCTTGAGGGAAGGAACTTTGTTCAATGTTGTCATTGCTGTATTCCCCAGCATCAAAGAGCAGTGTCTGATACGCTATGAGTACCCAATACGATAGGTACACTCTCGGTTTCTTGGTCATTGCTGTGGGTTGAGATGGGTCTTTCACACCTTCACCAACTTCTCTTTTTTACCTGCACATCTCCTAGATATTCCCCAGTGTCAAGTTATTGAATAGGCAGAAAGTTCACACTAGGTTAAAATGTGATTTTAAGAAATATTTCATTGTATTTAAAGTTTAATTGCATGAATTGATTTCCTTTTTGCTCTTGTAAATAGTACTGTCATGGATGTCTATGCAATTAAATTTATGTTTTTTTCCCATTTCCCATTCTTCCCACATGTGGAATCATTGGGTCAAAGTGTATGAATAGTTTCAAGGCTTTTGATAACATAATTAATTTGTTATTTCTGGAAAGGGTACACAATACAAATAGTTAAATTAACTTATCTTTTACTACAGTGTATAGACTATCTAGAGCTAATTCTTATCAGCTAAATGAAGCTTGTGCCTGAATTACACAGACTAAATTAATAACCAGTACTCTTTATATTGTAATAAGTATTCTCTACTATACTTCATTTCCCATTATGTAATTGTGCATAGTACAGAGTCAAGCGCAATATATGAATTGGACCCAACCAAACCTGCTGCCATCAAGTCAATTCTGACTCATAGTAACCCTATAGGACAGAGTAGAACTGCCCTACAAGGTTGCCAAGGCTGTAAATCTTTATGGAAACAGACTGCCTATCCTCCTGTGATGCAGCTGCTGGGTTTGAACTGCTGACCTTTTGATTAGGAGCTGAATGCTTTCACCACTATGCCACCAGAGCTCCTAAATTGGACCCAAGGGGGCAAAATTACTTGATCCTGCAGTAGAAGGTTGGCTTCTGGGAGTCAAGGAGTGGCAGGTGGTAATGATATACGCTAGTGCCTTTTTTAGTTTAAGTCATTACTATGTGTTCACTAGGAAGACTGCAGTTATGAGGATGTAGAAACAACAGTACCATTGTTGTTGTTGTTATGTGCCATCGAGTCGGACCCGACTCATAGCGACCCCTCCTTGGGTTTCCAAGGTGGTATCACTACAGAAGTAGATTGCCCAACCTTCCTTCTGAGGAGTGGCTGGTGGGTTTGAACCGTCAGCCTTCTGGTTAGCAGCTTTTTATGAGCTCAACATCCTCCCTGTTCTGTCTCCCAGCCCAACTGTTAATGTCTCACTGTAGCTTCATTCACTATCTACTTTTCCACTGTAGTCCCATGTATTTTATCAACCAACTCATCTCTCAGTTAACCACTGTTTTAAATTGAATTTTTTCTTCTCTCAGGACTCTAATTATGGGAGATAAGAAAGCTGGATTTTCTGTTTTCTGGGCTGATGATGGTTTAGACACAGGACCCATCCTTCTTCAGCGGTCGTGTGATGTCGAACCCAATGATACAGTGGATGCACTTTATAATCGATTTCTTTTTCCTGAAGGAATCAAGGCCATGGTCAGTATATTTATGCCATTAAGAATTTAGGAACCTTTGATGTTTTGTAAATATTTTTCTTTTCTAGATAGTCCCCATATGAATTTTCACTAAAAATATAAAGCTGAAAAGCAAAATTAGGTTTTATTTTTTACCAATACAATGGTATATTAAGAATAGAAATAAAAACTTAAAAATTTCTTAGTCTAAGAAGCAGACTTGCACTTCCTCTGAGAAGAGTGATCACATGAAGTGGCAATCCAAACGGCTTCATGTATTTTTTCAAAGACTTGAATGCCCAATCCTATTTGTAATGACTGATTATAAAAAAGTACATGTACTGTTAAAAGATTTTGCCAGAGTTGTGGAATTTTGATTTCTATTAAACATGTTTGAAATTTAGTGTTGCTTATCTTATTCAGATGTGCCCTGGCTGGAATGCCCAAAGCATGTGTACAACAAAATTATTAACCTGTAAAAATAGTGAAAAGTTCAGCAGATGATTTTGTAGCCATTTAATGTTTTCTAGAATTTGCTAAGGTGGAAGTGACAACACAAAGGTGGGCAGTAAGATCATATAAAGCAGCAGATAATTGATTTAGGAAAGAGTGGGTCATTGCTTTGTGTTCATATCCTCTGATGCTTAAGAGCACAGGGCTTTAGGGTCAGAAGGACTTAAGTTGAAATCCTCATTTTACCACTTACTGGTTGTATGACAATAGATAAGTCACTTAGCCTCTTAACCTCGGCTTCCTCATCTCTAAAATGTGAATAATATTGGCTGATTCATAGGGTTGTTATGAAAATCAAATGGCATTATTTGTGTAAACATAGTAGGTGGTATGGTAATTAGAACAAGAATAAGATTGAGCATGCTCAAGCCCAGATCCTATAGCTGATGGCACTGAATCTTGAGGTGGGTAGAACGAGCTGTCAGCCTGGCTGTGTTCCCAGATGGCTCCCTTGACGTGCTCCTCCGTGGGTTGGTAAGCAGATGGGAGAATGTGGAGAAAAATTCAGAACTGAGCTTATGTAGGCCTCCCAGTGAAGGGGAGAGGCTCTCAACTGAAGGCAAACATAAATATGGAAGGGACTGAAGGACACATCCCAGAGACAATCAAACGCATAAATGGGTTTTAACTTTTTTTATTCCAGGTGTCCCGAGCTAGAAATCAAGTTGAATTTGTTAACTATATTAATGATCATTATGAGCAAAAATAACCCCCAATGCTTTATTTTACATTTATATTCCTGAAATTTCCATCAGGTCACCAAAAGGAGAGAGAAGTTTATTTAAACAAGAGAGTCATTTTAAAAAGACTACAGGCAGAAAGCAACAGAACAACACAGGTGGAGAGTTTTGGTAACATGACGGAATAGGCATAAAGACTGCACAGACCCTCTGCAACAAAGAAAGGGGAACCAATTAACACAGATACAGAAGATAATCTTGGACCTGGAGCTTTGAAGGGAAGAATATAGAAGTGGACTAAACTCCAACTAGTAGAAGAATTTGCACGAAAACACCAAAAAAGGAGACATGCGGAGCTGTGGTCTGGCAGTGATTCCGATGGCACAGACAGCTTGGATATTGCCAAGTGGTGTTAGGACCTAAGAATTAACCTAAAAGTCAGCCCTGCTAGCCAGAGACTGCATGGAGGACTGCTCTAGTGGCTGGTGAATAAAGAGGGAAGCAGTGAAAAGGAAGACGGGCTGAACTGTGGAATTTTGCCTGTCTGGAGGGCACAGCCATTTTGAATGTTTACAAGCGGTTTGACAATTTTGGATACTTAAAGTAGTGACAGCATTCTCCCAGATTCCAGGGATTTAAGAATAGTCTCCTTTTGCCAGAAACCACATGAATATTCTGGACACGGACGACTGGAAAAGTGCGACATTCCCCTGGTTACTCTTATACCCCACACCCTCTTGGTGAATGGAGGTGGTGCCATTCCTCACTCCCACCCACCTTCTAGGCCAGCAGGAATTCCATCCCAGTCTGTGTGCTCAGACAGAGCCTGGGTGCCCTGACCTGATGATTTTTCTTTATTCTTTCGTTTAGTTTGTTTTTGTCTGTTTTAAAACTATTACTATTATTATTACTTTTGTCCATTTCATTATTATTCTTTATTC